TATAAATTTGAATTTGTATTTGATTTGATTTTCAAATCAAATATTCAAATATCAAATCGAATTGCGGAACCCTAATATATTTATTATATAAATAATCGAAACTTTTTAAAATTCCTTTTTTTATGTCCATTTAATACTTTTCAACTATTTTTATTTAAATTTAAACAAAAAATTATATTATTTTTAAAATAAAAACACACTTTAAATACAAATATAAATTTTTTTAAAATATTACAAACAAAAAAATTTGCAATTATTCAACTAATTATTTAGTTATAAAACAACTTAAAAATATATTTAAAAATATTATTTGATTATTTCCTATAATAAATATATAAATTTTATTATTCTTTATATTAAAAATTGGAGAAATTTTAACATAATTCAATAACCTAAAATTTACTTGAATATTTACATTTTCCACCTTAATAAAAATTGTTTTTTTTGCTAAATTATAACATATATTATTAGTTAAATATTATCCAATAATTAAAAAATCAATTTTTTTTAATTTTTTTTACTAAAAAATCAATTTTTTGCATTTTATACAAATCTATTTGAATAATTATCTTTACAACCTAAGAAATTATTTTTTATCATGTAAAATTATATTTATTTTAACTGTCAAAATCATACTTTCTTTTCAACTTTTAAGAAGATTTTAAAAAATGTAGCCTTTTAGAACAAAACCTTGTAATTGTAAAAAAAAAAAAATTTTTTTAAAGTATTATTAAAATAAATGAATAGAACTTATGACATTCTATCAATTACTTAATTTGTATAAGCAGTATATGTTAAAAAGTTTAACGGTTAACTATGAGGCAAATTTCGATTATTGTTACACAAACAAATTAATTATAAAATTGATCTGCATGCAAATTTGTAAATCAATAAAAATGACTTCATGATTGGCATACACATTCCCCAAACCCCATATACGAAATATTGATTGCCAAAAACTATCTATATTTGAATATTGTTTTGTTAGTATGATACTAGCGTGGCCGGAGACATAACATGCAAAAATAAATGCAACTTGAGTCGAAAAAAAAATAATGTGAATATATATGCCAATCTTACGTCATACAGCCCCTATTCTTCGGCAAGAATTTTACTGTCATATGATCGCTATACTTTTGTCATGAGATTGCTCTAGACATTTATAAAATAATGTATACAAAATATATGAATTATGGTCATAATACAACACCGGTACGAGCAAACAATAAATACTTTATTAACAGTGATTATACTATATATTTTTGATGAAACAAAAGAAAAATATATCACAACCTAAGAAATTAGTATGGGTATCTTGATTTTCATTAGGATCAGAGGATTAGGATACCAATTTCTAAAAAATATTTTGTATTGTTTTATAAAGTAATATAACCAGCACATAATAATTGTAATCATTATAATTAATCTAATATATTCTTTTCATTGCCAGATTGCAGAGGTAATTTTTTTTGATCGTTCAATCCATTAAAGATTGGCTGACTAAAAATCGAGTTAAAATTTGTTTTACTTTATATCTAAATATTTCTTCTTCACTCATAGTATCAAAAAAATCTTCCATCGGAGCTATATCAGAACTTACGTTAGAAGTTGCAATAACATGTCTAAGTTTATGTCTTTTTGGTAATAGTTCTTCTTCAGAAGAGCTTGATTCTATATCCATTTCAGAGCCTTCTGGTAGACGTTCAGATGATGATTGTTCTAATTCTGTCAATTCGTTGTTCGCTGATGTAAGATTGTGTCGTATCAACGCCATAGCTTCAGCTCTAGGAAGAGTAAGCCTCATGATAATTTTTCCTTTAATCCAAAAAAATGCCAATCGTCTATCAGATCAGTTAATACAGCCAAGACTGGATACGTTGATTTTAAATCTGCGGAGATTAGTTCTGCCATGGTTTGAAATGTATGTTTCTTAATGACAGCCTTCTTTAACTCAAAGAGGACTCAGATATGTTTCTCTTGGGCTTGAGAAGTGATAGAATACCTGTCCACTATAACCAAACCTGTTGTTCCGGAAAGTCTTATTGGTAAGATATCAGTATTTGTACTAAGAAAACTATCATCACCAGTTGTAAAGATGGGAACTGTAATTAATATGTTGCAACTTTTAATGTTGCAACTTACGTTGCAATTAGTTTTAACCTATATATGTTGCAACTTATAATGTTGCAACATATGTTGCAACTAATTTTAGCTTATGTTGCAACATTTTGTAAATTTGAAATCAATTGCTGTACCATCTTTAACCAGTTGGATCATAGAGTCTGAGTTTTCGAAATGTGTCAAGTCTGAGTATATTCATGAGATGAGATTTGTACCTATCACTTTGTGATCTTTCTATGGTTTCCATTCATCCGAAAGCATCAATTCTTTCTCTCAAATCTAAACCGAGGTTTGGAAACTCTATTTCACGTGTTGTCGCTTGGTAATCAAGACTAGTATATTCTTGAATTTTCATCTAATATCCTTCAGTTACGCCTGATATGTATACTGAAGATTTTTCTCTCTTTATATCTTCAAAATTCCTATCAATCTTATCAACATTCTGATCAAGCTTATCAAAGTTTAGCAATAATTACATTATCGTTTCCCCTAGCTTAAAGGTTGTTAATGATGTTACTATTCGATTTATTGCAGTTTTATTCTTCAACTTGGCGCCCAAAAAGATAATTGTCCATAAGATAATTCCTACTTACCAGCAATAGGCAAGACAATAGCAGATACAGCAACAATAATGTAAATATGTTTGTTGGCAGGTGCAGGGAATTTTTCTTCAATTGTATCCATGGAACTCAACACTTGACCACCAAAATCATTCACAATGTTGGCATCTGGATTGCTGAGAGCAGTTCATTGGGGTTTTGCATAGCAAGATTGATATTAACTTGATATAAAGTGAGGTCTTTTACCGAAATATCATCTAAAATAGGACTTGATTTATCCTTAATAGCATCTCTGATTTCGTCAACGGTCGTATTCTTATCATATTTAATCCCGAATACAGAACTTTCTGGATCCCTGTGGAGTAGACAGTAAATTGGTGTCTTTTTAGATGGCATGGTGATGTAAAAATACGGTTTAAGAAAGAGATTTTTTTGTAAAAATGAGTTGGGCCATTATTTATAGTTGTACATGCTGCAACAAAATCGATGTACAAGTCATGCTTTACAATATTACACATAAAAAAAGTGCTATACTTTGAGATCGTGATCTAATGTCACTAAGGTTGGTAAAAGTCCTAATAAGTCCTAATTGGTCTTAAAGAATTTAAGGATAATTTTAATTTATATACTATTAATTAAATTTTTTAATAATAAATTAATCTTTTTAATAATTATTATATATTAATTATTTTATTAATTTAAAATAAAAAAATTCTTTAAAAATAATGAATATACTTAATTTAGGACCTGGTTCTAGAATAAGTCTAAAAATTTAAAGATATTTTAAATTTTAAAAAGAAATTTAAACTTATTTTTGTCTAAAACGAAGTGAAGGACTATATATGTTTACTCAAAGTAGTGATTTGATCTGAATATCTGTTTATCTGTAAATGGATAATTTGAAGACTTCATAACGGGTACGGATTATAATCTGTGAGGTATCCGAATAAATCTGGATAAATCTGGATAAACCTATAATGGATAAATCCATTTCATAAATAATCTGAATAATATTTAATATCAAATCAATAATAAATATTTAAGTTCAAAAATAAGAAAAATAAGACACAAAAGAGTTAATTAAACAGGTGGTTATTTTATTATCATTTTTTCATTTTTTCATTATACTACCACAGTTATACTATATCATAAAACGTCAAAATAACTACTGTAAAGCACTGACTAATCTACCCTAGAGTTTTTACAAATTTACCCCTAGATTTGTAAACTACCCAGGTAGTTTAATTAGGGTACTTTGGTATGAGAGGGGTTTTTAAATTGAAAAATATATGTAGATCGTAATGATTGTAATGCCTATAAAATTCTGCGCGTTTCGTAATGCATTTTACTTGTATCATATTTCACGATTTTTTTTCTTTCAAAATGGTCATTATAGGAAACCAAAAGTCAAAACGTTCTAGAATTATTTTAAAAAAAAGAAGACAATGGTGTATATGTGAGAAATTAATGGTCTTACAATATTTGCAATGTTCAAATAGTGTTCATGTAATAGCAAAACATTTTGGTATAGAACCAAGTCAAGTTCGGGATTGGAGAAAAAAAAGAATCAGTTAAAATCTTTAGCACCTTACTTACTAAAGTTATATGATGGTAGACAACCATTTTTCCAGAATTAGAACAAGAATTAGCAGTGTGAATTACTAGTTGTTGCATACAAAGTTTACTAATTACTAGAAATATGACAACAAAAAAAGCCAAGGAACTTTCACAGACTGAGAAATTCCAAG